TCAGATGACAGAAAAAATACCTCTTGCATTCATACATAGCTTCTTTCACACCATCAGATAGGGAAGAGACAGGAAGAAGTTAGCATAGTACTCTTCGAAAATGGAAGCTTGGAAAGCCCTGGTCGCCAGCCTGATCATTTCTTCCAGGTTTGCATACTCCCTTTTGACAAAACAATGTTTTAGAGTCATATCTACGAGGGAAAAACGTAAGCGTCGTGGTTGAATGTACTTGGCTGGAATAAAAAACTCCACGTAGACAGCTCTGCTTTCTTTCAAGATGTTGTTTGCATACACAGTAACACAACACTGGAGCTCAGTGGGTTGTTTATCGTTGTTGCTTTCTTAAACAACCCTGGAAATAACAAATGTACATTCTGTTAGATTCTTACTGCATTCATCTTTTCAGTGGGAAAAGTGTGCACTTGCTGTTCTTCAGGTCCACTCAGTATAACAACCTTGCTGGAGGTGCAATATTTTCAGTCATTTCCAAATGACATACTTAAACAAAATGCTGTATTTAAAATATACTTTCACTTTTGTTTTAGGGAACTTTTCAGCTTGGTAGGAATTCTTCAAAAACTTGTTCCTGGAGGTTTTTTTGATCTTGTCCCTGTTGTTTTTTAATAAACCATTATACTTCTCCACATGCATCTCCCAGCTTCCTCACCAAGTGACGCTGCATCTTCCCTTTCACTGTTGTTCCCGAGACCACTAGCGCAGTTTCTCCTGACTGACCTGACTTCAGGATACGTCCAGCAAACACAGCGAAGCTGTGTATCTCCAGAGAGAAAACCGTTCGCACATTGTTCACTTTCAAACTTGGAAGTACAAGGACACCAGATGTACAAGGTAAATACCACTTCATGCCTTAGTGTGGGAAGCCTCAAAGGACTTGACTGGGGATAGAATCTTGGGGAATGCATTCCCTTCTAAGAAGGCTATCCTCTGTATCAGTGGTAGGAAAAGCATCCCCACCACATCAAGCAGGCTCACAGACTATGTCAAAGTAAGGTTTTTTTTCTTGAAGGATGTGCTCTTTATCCTCTCTTCTTTTAAGAAAAATCTCCAAAAGGGAATCTCAACAGAGTCCAGAACTATCCTGTAATAAAAATCCAGCTTGAAAATTGAAATTCCATAAAAATGCAGTAATCGCACAGAGCATTCTTCAACTTCTACACAGCTGATGAACAGATGCAGCCCTAGAAAGCAGTTCTGGACCTCCCACTCTTCCACCTCAGGCTTCCAGGTTCCCAGTGCAATGGTCACTGAGGTAACATTGGCCAGGGTCCCACAGGTAAACTGTTGGGCTCCAGGGGATGCTGGTTTCTGTTTCCCAGCATGTATAATGACAAGTGTGTCTTCCTCTTGAGACAAACTTTGCACAGGCTCCATGGTAAAAGCAACTTAACTGAGAGCACTCTTTATTGTCAAGATGTGATCATCACTGGCAAACTTAATCCAATTTTTTCTCATTAAAAGTTGTGAGAATCAGTTCTCCCCCAAGGTCCAGATAAAATAACTACTCAGGAATAAAGGCAAAGAAATTCCTATATAGGCAGTTGAGGCGGTTCCAGAACCTCAGTGCCAAATCTAAAGTCAGAGAAGTGAGAAATATAGAAATGCAGCCACCACAGATAGAGATTTTTTTTTTTTAAGACTGCAACCATACCTTGGCACTAACAAGGAGAATGGGCGTAAAGAACTAAGCTGTTATATAGCTACTGTATTTTCATGGCTTCCATAAGCCAGTCTGGTACCCAGCCTAACTTGGAGTGGATGCAAACCTATTCTAATTGTGGCTACAGTAACGTTCAAGGAAATATTCAAACCCCTTGCTTGCTGTTTCATACAAAAAGCATACCAGTAAGTTAAGATTTCCTCAGTAATAAATATAACCATATACTCAAATTTATATGTTCCATTCTCAAACACATACACTATATGTATCTTCAAAATAGCTGGCAACATCTTTAGAGCACTGAATTATAAAAAATATATAGCCACTAAACACCGTGAAGTTAAGGAAACAGAAGAAAAAACCACCTATTTTATTAGTTTCTCTTTGTTTTTAAGCTTGAGCATGTAACAGCCTTTCATTATTTGTAGTCTAAACTTAATCAGGTGTGGTACTGAAAATGGAATGTTATGATATGTTTCCTTCAGTCATTTTATTATTAAATTATTTTCCATTTACCAATGCAATCAGTTTTATTTCAGGATTGATCATAGAAGTATACCATACTATTTCTTATCTTGCTCACTATTCCCAGGATTTATGCCCTTATAGTAAAAAGTTGCCTTTTGTTGAAGAATATAGAATGATCAGAAATGCTCTCAAATGTTTAAGATACTTTCTAAAAAACAGCATGCATATAGTACTGTAGGTTTTACCAGAGGTGTATAATTTTTCAGTATTACGTCTTAATGCCCATTTCCTAAAGGAGCTTTGACTACAAAAGGCATGAATATGTTTTCAAAGGATGATGGATAAATTGGTGGGTGGTAATATAATATATCTTAGGCAGCTGATCAGGGCTTTTTATCCTCTGCTTGTCTTTTAGTTATACACAATTTCAAGATAATTATGGTCTATAAGAATGTCTTTTCCCCTTCCTACTACCAGCAATATTTGTCTTGGTTATAGGTTCAAGAAACTTCCAATCACATCACAAAATTAGAATAGGGCAATTACAACATCTCAGCAGAGAACTGAATGTATGAATAGACTGGCCACACAATATGGACATAAGGCAGTTAAGGAACTGCCTTTATATAAAATACCAGTTAATTAGAATACTAACTACAGAATATATTGAATCCATACCTACACTTCATAAAACAAAAAACAATCATAAAATGTGTAATTTGGGTTGATATGTACCAAATTTATGTTGCCTTTCCACTAAAGAATACAGTCCAATTAGATATTGAAAATAAACTGATTACTAATATCATTCAATAAAATCTGAATGTTGAATAACATTGTATAGGGAGACATCCAAATACCAAACAGCTCATTTTTATGACAGGAGAGGACTTCTTGAAGCACCTGAAGGTCCTTCTTTTTAAAAGTCAAGTGAGACAGTTGTATGGAAAATGTCTCGACCTCTGTGATTTGGAGACCTAACTGTGGCCAATGCCAGTCTTCGATTGACTTTTTCCTAGTGAGGCAATAATGGTTTTTAGGTAACATAGGTTGGCATTTAAGAAGTGCCTAAGCTTTCCCAGTGTGAAAGTGCATAATTTCCTAGATTGACGCCTAGCATATTACAGGGTTACTTCACTGAAGCAATTTCAAGACAGCAAGACAAATCAGAGAAATCAACTGTACTGTGCCTTGTCTGTTAAGCAAAGGAAGTGTTGAATAGTCAAGCTAAGAGTGGAAAAGCATAGACAAGAGTATTGTTGTACAAACGGAGGAAGAAAACAAGACTTTCCTCAACTTTCCTGTAGTGATATTGTCCATGTATTTATAATCTCTTATAGTAACACCACTACGGAGTTAAAACCGAGGAATGTAGTATTATTACCTAGTGTCTATGCCTGTAAAGAAAGAAGGAAAACTTACTCCAAATCAGACAATAGAGTTCAGTAAGTCCCATCAAACTAATTGATTAGAAACTGGTACAAGAAGGACAGATGTTTGTACCAATGTCTGTTGATTAATTTGCAAAAGCATAAAGAACAGAAGCTAGGAAAAATATGACATGCTATGAATAACTGATTCAAAGATGAATGAAAGAAGAATAAAATGGATGTTAGCTACTCCATTCTAAGCAATTTTAATGCAATGCAATAAAAATATTCATTTGAACAATTTAATTTTGATGAGAGAAACCACAACAATGAACATATATCATATGGTCAGAAAGTCAACGACTTGATTATCAGTTATTTAAAAACAAATATTATTAAAAAATATAGCAAGTTCTTATGTAATTCATACTTCACAGTCAAATTCTAACCTATTTGTTTAGGCTATATTCTAAACCACAAGAACAAATGATAAAAATTTCACCCCTAAATGAATGCTCGTTAGGTTCAAGATAATAAAAAAAATATTATTAGATTTTTCATAACCACAATCATATCATTTCATTAAGAATATACTTCTTCCTGAATACTGCAGATAATATTGAATAGATAAGGCACAGAATCTGCCATCACTAGGTAGGAAAAAAGAAAAGTAATAATTTTGTCCAGAAATAGTCTCTGAAGACTCTGAAGGAAATAGCCAGACTTCACTTGATGCAGAAGTAATCAGTAAATTATATGTTACTTTTGATATTAGAAAAAAGCAGCCTTAGAAAGACATAAAATATTTAACAAAATTTTGTAAGATTATCCTCACACTTCAGCATTTTTTGCAGTGTTGATCAGGCTTTTTCCCTTACAAAATTTCCTTATAATGGAAACTATCAGTGTTTGATTAGGAGCTCACTGAAGTCTGAAAGGAACCTTTCTATACGACCTGATCCAAAGCTGACCATGTTTCCTAGTCAGAATGAAAACTACATATAAAGGAAGTTGTAAAGATGTTAAATGATATTTTTCTTTTCTACAGGAAACTGCAATAAACATCTACACAAGCTGTACACTGTTTCCACCACAATATGCTGGAAGCAGCTTAACTACTCTTCCTGACAGGAAAGATACTACTCGATAGGCAGGTGGAAACTGTAAACAGTTGGGTTTACTCAAACCATTCAACTAAGCCAGACAGCCTTTCTAGTTTTCACCTATAATCAAAATAAAGGATAAGTAAAGTCCTAGCCTTATTTGGCCTTTGGAGAATCTTACTCCTTTGTCTGTAGACGGAGGCTAGTGAGCTAAATTTAATTCCCAAATCTAGCTAATGCAAACACTCCTGCACTTCCCAACACATTCTTATGAATCACCGAGATTAATTAATTTCTTACTACACAACATATACACTTGAAAATGTATTTAAATCCATCAAGAGATTACAGCTTCAATTGTTAAAAGCTATGAGTCTTTACCTTTAAGATGTTGTCAGGATGCTCTTTAGCAGAAGCAACAAACAAGTCATGTCCACAGACAACTCCCTCTGCGAGAAAATACTTGAACAACAAATTGGAGTAAAGACCATATTTATCTTCCTCTGTGAAAACAAGAATAGATGGGATTTTTTCTTTTTTATTAGATAAATAATCTACCTGTATTTTCACAACACTATAAAATCCCTCTTTTGGTCTACCTCCTACAGTACATAATGTACAACAGAGATAACAGGTAAAACAGGAATCCAAAGCTTTAAAAATAATGCTTGATAATATTGTATTCCTAATTTTTCAAGCCAGAGAAAAAGTTCTCAATCATGTATTTGATCCTAAGATATGGATGGGATATAGCAATAGTGCTATCTTCCTAACAAGGTTTCCCATCAGTATCAACTAAGATTACCAAAATCATGGTCTAATGAGAAGGGATTTTGTTAATTTGGGAGAACTGTATTAATATTTATATTCTTAATGCTTAACATATTAATCAATTGCCTAAAATATCTATTAATTGGTGCTTTTCAAAATTTAATCACATTTGGCATGCTAAAGCTACATAAAGGTATCATTCCTTACGCAGATATTCTTCTATCAGCATTTCTTTCAAAACTGTTAGAACTACAAAAATAGGCAAGACAAATGGGTATGTTGAAAAAATAGACATTCTGCAATGCCATTTTTGAAAGCTACCCAGAGCAAAATCTGAAACACATTCAAAAGACACACGAACTTATGGTTTAAGAAGTGGACAATACTTGTTAACAGGCATTGTGAATACGAGTTTACTGAACTAAAAAACCCAAACTCCCACTGACCTCAGAAAGGCTAACATTTCCTTTAGCTTTCTTGTTACAAGTTAAGTATCAGAAATTACCAGAATTAGAAAGTCTTAATGAGCTTCATACAATTAAAACTTATCAAAACTCAAAACCACAGGGGAATTGAATGAGTAAATAACACTTGAAATTTGAACCGTCTCCAATTTTCTTTATTTTTAAGAAATATTATCAATAGCAAAGTTAATGCTAGCAAAACACCATTCCTAACAATATAGCTACCCAATTAATTGCAGAGTAAAATTTTAGATCACGCCCTTTCAAGCAACATATTTATGACATTTATTTAGAAAGATATCTGAAATATTTTGTTTTGGAAAAAAGTAAATGCAACAATGTAAGTTTTCACTTTTTCATCTGTTAATCTGGCTGCTGGAAAGTAATACACAAGAGATGTTGTGGCAGAAAAATACAGAGAGAGATTTTCTTTGTACAGAACCAACATAACTCTTAATCCATTCTTATTATAACTTGGAAACAATTTCCTCCCTATTATGAACCACATATGAAAATGTTAAAAGACAAACCACAAAGCCACTAACAAAGGCTGGAAATAAGGAAGTTGTTATTCATATCAAACTTCTAAAAAATACTAAAACAAAAATAATATCACTTTGACATGTACTGGAATAGTATGTTTTGGAACTTAAGAGTCAAAAAGAACCAATGAAGTGGAGCGGGAGGAAAGGAAGAAAGGAGATGCATATCCAAAAAGGAGAAAGAACATCAATAGCAATGAGAAAACTTATGAAACAAATCACAGAAAAACAGCATTGCATTGCTACACTCCTGATACCATACAAAGTACTGACACTTTTGGTGATTAGATTAACAAGAGAAAGAAATTCAAATCACAAGCTTTCATATTCACTGGAGAAGGAATAGTTCCCCCAGAGATATTCCCCATCCTCCACGGGATACTGGGCAAACCAGAATTTATTTCCTGCTTTTTTAACTTCACTTTTAAATTTAGTATTTGGGATACATTTATTTCTTTCTTTTTTTTCTTCCTTGTTCTTCAGAATAATCCCTAAAGATACAGCATCAAGATCACCTACTCTGTTGTTAAGAAGAAAAACTTATTTAAAAGTTTCCCTTTCATTAAAGCCAAGAAATGAACTAAAAATGACTCTAAAACAACATTTCAAGATAAACATGGTCCATAACACAGTTCCTAAATTACATAAAACTGGACATCCAAATAAGCCAAAGGGAATATAACAATTACAACACTATTGCTACTAGTACTAGCCATTGATATATCCATCTTATTGTAGAGTCTGAGGGTTTTAAGAACTCAGATTGTATTAATATCATTTACCCTTGACACTCTTAACCTGCTTAGCAGGCCATATTAGCCTTCTAATCTATTTCTAACAACACATTTACCTTTTTTAAAAACAGTCTCATGAAAAATATGGACAGAGAGTATTGTGGAAAGTATGGTACTGACAAATGCTTACTGGTGACAGCGCTGGGTCACTGGGTTCCCTATTAAAATTTCAGCAGAACTGATTTCCAAAAGAGTTACAGAATTACAAACTGAAATTTCCTCAAAAGTCTGGAGGTCTTACTTAAATATTGCATGGTTAAAAAGCCACTGCTACTGAAGAACTGTTTCCCTAGTAACTCAGCTCCATAGCTTGTGCTGCGACTGAGGATGTAGGTCCATGTACGAGACTAGGATGGAGACTAGACTCAATTCAGATAAAAGAGAAGCACGAGAACTGAGGAAGCAAAAAGTAGAACTGGCACGGTCTAAAGTTTTGAGGAGGTATTACAGTCTTATTTCGTAAATATAGTCTTTGGAGCCTGCTTAGATCTTAAACTGCTTCAACAAGAGGAAAAAAAACCCAACATGTAGAGTAATTCTCCCTTATAACTGGAGTCCAGGAACACATACAGCTCCTGCCCTCTAAACACTGGCGCTCTCTAGTTATTTATGCTTTGGTTGTTTACTGCAATATAATTTGTAATATATTATTCACAGTATATTGACTTCCACGTGCTACTCTCTATCTATGAAGCTCTCCATTTAAGAACCAAAGCCCCCTAGAAATCAGAGTGACAGCAAGATATCTGCTTTTTTTCTTTTTTTTTAAATTGTCTGAGCTACCTGAAAGAAGCCACCAAGCCTCCCATATAACTACATCACTGCAGCAGATGTCAGTGGAGAGAGACAATTTTGTTAGACCTCCCTCCCCTTGCACAAAAGAGGAAAAGGAACACTAGTCGGGTGCTCTGGAAGGATTCTCAGCTGTAACATTTCCTTCACTCTTGGTGAATCAAAAAAATCTTCAATTTCTTAATTTTTATCTACAGGTTAAAGTTCCGCTTCATCATTTGAGGCACAGAAAGCACTGAGTTGTATTGCATATGGACAGGACTTAAATGGCAATTAATGGAGTATAAGCCAATAACTCCTTTAGTCCAAGTGTTTTACGATTTTTGTATATGCAGGCAACTATACAGAGCGTCTTTCTGGATCAACATTTTTTATATTCATTATTCCTTAGATAGTAAACAACATGCTCAATTTTGTGGCAAACACAACATGGAACCTCCATAAAGCATGGATAAATCTAAGAAATCATACTGTGTGTTGATGATTACTTAACTAAACTACAAGGAAATAAGGCTGGAGTAGTCGAGAATTTTTACTCAAATTTTATTTGAAATGCTGAAATGTTAAAACAAACTATAGAAGTGAAGCAATGGGGAACAGGGATATAAACCCTTTTAATGACCTATCCAAGATTATAATTCATTTTGTTGAGTGACAGACTTATTTGTAATATAACAGGACTAAAGAGGGTCTTACACTGCCATACCTTCCCAAAATATATTTTGCAAAACACTTAGGAATTTTCAGTTTAGCAGATTAGAACACTTACAGTCAGTGTAAAGCCACACCATTTTCCTGTAGTCTTCTTGCATTGATTTTGGTAAGAGTAAACTCACATTAAAAACAGGAAATGAACTATTAGGGAGTGATCCAAATATAAAACACCTCATAGTCTGCTACAGTACTCTAAGGATTAAATGTGTCTCAGAAAGCCTTTACAAACAGTGTATCTTGGATTGTTAAAGTCAACGCATCTGTAAGAATCCCTCAGTTCTTCAATTTGTCACATAGAGGATGGCTTTTTATTGATTCATTTCTAGGTCACTAAACTTTTGTGGTATTCAAAAGATCTAAAGTGCACCCATATGGGGCTTTTCTGATAGCATCCATTGTACCCTGGCTTCAATAGTTATGTTACTATTCAAAACCATAGGAGTACAGCTTTCTTCTTGTAAATAAACAAACAAATCATTTAGCACAGGTACTTCAGTAGCTCACTGATTACTTTCATAAATAAATTGAACAAAACACTTCAATGTATATTTTTTTTCTGATAATGCTCGGACTTTCTATTTTGATGGCTTGGATAAAATCTCAACTGTTATCTTTATTTTTCTAAATAACACCCACGTCCAAAAGAATGACCTCCATTCTATATGTGTAGGAACTCACGCTTCAGTGCATTGTGGTCAGTCAAGATACTTAAGATGAGCCTGGCCCAAATCTTTATTCTTAGCCTCCACACTAAAGAGCTGTCCCGTCAGCAGCCTTCATTGTGAACTTTACTTCTAGCTAATAAGGGACATAAACAAATAAAGAGTCTTGCAGCTGCAGACTCTTTTCTGGGTCCAGTCACCGCAAGTCACAAAACAGTCCGCAGCTTTCTCTGATTCTTTCTAAACAACGAGTGTTCTACAGCTAAGTAGCAGATGAGTAACTAGTGAAGCGTAAAACTACACAAGTAAAAGAAATTATTTACCTAGAAGTTAGGCATATTGTCTCCAGGACAAAACCTCTTCTGATCCTACACATAAAGACATAAATAAAATAGTTCATTGCGATCCTTACCCATTGGTCGCTTTCCACAACAGCATGCTTTCACGGCCAACACAGTCAGGAAGAAGCAGCAGCATTGTCAGAATCAGTGCAATGAATTCCAACATATAACCATGTTAAAAACTAAGGATAAAGACCAATTTCTATTTATGGCTCTTTTCACCCCTAGACTGTATAGGCTACTGAACACATAAGAGACATTCTCAACACCTTTGTGCATGGACTTTCTGTAGCTACCACTCAAAGAAATCTGTGGGTCATGGAATTAGATACCAAATTTTAAGGCACTGGAGTTTAGCTGGGCACAGATAACAAAGGTAGCAGATATGAGTGAGGCACTGTAAATATACAATTTACATAAAAAATAAGAACAAAAATCTCATCTAATTATGGAAATTGGTATATAAACATGTGGCCTTAAGAAAAAAATCTCTAGTCATAACCACTCCCTCTGCACAGAGGTATTAACGTTCCAAGGGAGGGATGGAGAACGAGCACTATAACCTGAAGAGGAACAAAAAGTTACCATAAGGTAACGGATATACATAGATCATATTTAGAATAGGTGACTTTTAAACATCAGTATTGACAGCATGAAGGTCTTTGAAAAACTCCGGACATATTGTGTATTATAATTGCTTAAAATGGTGAGAGCTATAAGAGGAACACATAATACTGCAACAGTGTAATGCACAGATCGCCTTTTTGTTCCCTCTGTACAAAGTCTAGACAGGTTGCCCTAAAGCTGACAAAAGCCTGTCATAGCCTATCAGTATTGATCACCTTCACCAGATAGCTCTGTAGTACGGTACTGTGACCTAAGGTGTGTCTGTAGTTATGAAACATCTCTCTGAACTGCTGCAGGTTATAAGATGTGATTATTTTAACAATCGGAAATTCCATTTAAAAGATACTTTACTAATGTCCACATTTACTAAGCTTGAGGGTATATACTCTGTGTCACTTGCATTTAATTAGCACATGCCAAAACGGAGTTGTCAAGCTCATAAGTCACAATATCTGGCATTTGGCCATACTTTAGGAAGGTGAATTCTCATAACTTGTATTTTGTAGAGTTATATTTAGCAAATCACTGTTTTGTACCTCTCCGGTGATTACTTTTTCAACTTTAAAACAGACGATAAATTCAATTATATTGACAAGTGAAGAGAGTTCTTACCAGTCAGGTTAAATTGTGCATTTAGCTAAAACGATAGTAGCTAATTAAAGTAGCTGAAACTGCTTCAAGGCTTAGAATGTACAAGTATAGACCTGCTTTTAACCAGACAACTTTAACTTTTAATAATTGACCTCAGCTACCAACAAAAACCCTCCTGCTGGTAATCTTTAAAACATTTAGCCGTCAATGACCTTGTCAAATCTAGAGCATCTTAAAGGTATGTAAGAATAGGTTCTTACAGGGTACCCAGGACAGACCTATTGGAGCGTGCTGTAACTCACTATGCAGAATATCTTATATAATCAAGGCTTAAAACAAAATAACATCCTCCTGGAAACTCTTCCTGAGGCTGGCAAAACAGACACACAACAGGTTGAAGTACATCAGAGAGGGGAGGGGGGAAAGGAGTGTGGTTAATCAGCAGCTATGCTGCTTGTTTGTTTTGAAAGGGGAGCTTCTAGAAAGCTGATCTTCTGGAGCAGTTTAAGATGAAACAACAAACAAGTGGTCTCACATTTGTATTGAACAAACTGTTTTGACAGTGTTCAAATTTCATTTCACGAAGTGTCAGAATGCTTGTTTTACCACTTCTTATAAACCCAGCCTAGTAAGACCTTTTGAAATTAAAATGCTACTTAAAATCCCAAACATTCTTGCTATAGGAACAAAACCCAGGAAGTTTCAAGCTTCTCTAGTAGTTAGGATCTTGCATGGAACTACCACATGCCTCAACTCTCTAATCCTCATATAAATAAAATACTGCCAAAAAAATGTATTGTAGAATTAAGTTCAACTGAAAATCATGATGCTTTTTATTACTAATTAAATTTTTAAAAACTGTGCATTTAAATTTCAAACAATATTTTACAGTCTTATCAAGTAACCTGTGCCATTACTACATCTGCAGAATACAACAGTTAAAATATTTTAATACCATGAATCTACTATTATTTGGTTAAATTAACCAAGATAATGTGTCAGATAATGAAGACGAGCATTTAATTTGCAAAGGGAGCCAAGCTAAAAGTAATGCAATTTATTCTTGCCTTAGAGAATGCTGAAGGAAGGGGGAAGAATTTAACCTTTTTATAACACTTGGAGTACAACGCAGAAAGATCTTCCTAGGAGGTTTATCACTGACAGCTTCAATCCCATATAATATTAAGCTTGCCTAGACTAATCTCATGACAGAAAATTTTAGTAAACTGACAGGATATTCTAACAATCCAGTTACAATTCTACCTGCCCCAACTTCAAAGATGAGTCTAAAAATCTTCAGACTAATGAGTCATGAATAAATATAGTTCTTAATTTAAGACTTTTTGCATATAATTATATGTTTCAAAATAATATATGGTTAAGTTTTATTTGGGAAAAAAAATAGATTTCAAATCTAAAAGAGACATTCTCCTTCGTGTTTCTGTGAAGTTAATTTTAATATCAGATCACAAATAAACAATCAATACAGGGGATAAGTAAATCAAAACCCACCACCGAGTATTGCTAGCTATGGACTCAGAGGAGGGGAAAAGAAAAAAATCCAGGTAAAAGTCCTATAATTTTCAAATCATTGAATCTTGTCATCTCCTTCTTCAGAACACAAAGCTCACTGCCTTTATACTCACTTCATCTGGTGCCACTAAGGTCAGGCCAAATGGCTAGCTAACCCTATGCTCAACAGTAGCCAAAAGCGGATATTTAGGAAGAGGTACTAAGAACTGAACACGCAAATGTCATGCTTCACTCAAGGACTTGCTCAGCCTCCCACCACTTGTAGCCCAAAGAATTCCTTAGCCGGACTTGGCATCCACTAACCTAGTAACGCAAATGGTTTTCTCTTCCATCGAGCCACCCAGTTTCCCACTGAGACTATGATTTTTTTTTTACATCCACAACACCCTATGGTGAAGTATTCCGCTACTTGATTGCATAGTGTCTGAAGAACAACTTTTTTTTCTTTAATGACAATTTGCCAGCTAGTAGGTTCATTTGATGCCACCCAGTTCATCTACTGAAATGGGCAGTGAATATTGTAATGGGAAGACAAAACAAAACTCATCTAGTTTCATAATCTCTGATCTATGTAAAATGTTAGGTTCTAACTCTTGTTTAATTCTTCCTTTGTCCACAGCAAGATCACAGCTCTTCTCAAACTGAGTGAGAAAAGTAAGATCTCCACTGAAAGCAGTAAGAGATAAAACTTCTATCATTTTTCACAGAAATTGAGTGAAGTTTCATGAGAAAATTTAAGCTTAACTGGCACCTTCTGCCTTGAAAAAGGCCATCTACTTTCTCTTCTAGTCCTCACTGTGCAGTACCTTTCCCTTGTGCTGGCTCTGGTACTCATCTCGCATGTTAGTGAGCCGATTCAGGTCACTAAGCAGACAGAAGAGCCTCCACTCTTCAACTGGGTGAGTTTTCTGTCAACTTGGAGAGCTGAGAGTTGAAAAGCACTAGTGCCAGCTCAAGGAACAACATGATTGCACAGCCAAGAACGGGGAGAAGGATTTGGACAACTTCTTTCAGCAACAGTGAACTGCTGTATCAATTCAATTTTCTAAAAAAACCTGAACTTAAATTATAGCTATTACACAAACGGTGGCCTATATGGAATTAGGTAATGTTAGTTCTTTTTTCCGGCAGGGAACTATTCAAATTACTTAATCTGCACCACAACATACACTAATTTATATACTTTATGTAGAAATCAAGATTTTCTAAGATTCAGTGAGACAGCAATATCTGTCTCTAATGATGGGTAAAATGTAGAAATAAAAACTAGCCTTAAAGTAACAACAAACCATAACAGGAGCAATAACCTTGATCACTTGGCAAACAGAAAATGCTGTTTAGCCTCTAGTGCAGGTTCACATGAGCCCTAGACCAACAAAAGGTAACATCATGTAATCCCAATAGTGGCTAAAACAGATTTCAGATAACTTCTCCCAAGATCTCACTGTTAGGTTCTTCAGTGTTAAGACTAACTCAAAATACTGTAACAATTCAGAACATTTTAACCAAAATTCTAGATACAAATGCAGTCTCGCAAGTGATGGCTGTCATCCCACAGTGAAAGTAAACACAGATAAAATGTTGGGACCACACCGTTTTCATCCCTTTCAGAAAACGATTGAAAATTACTGATTAAATCTTTCTTAATGCTGAAAAGCCACACTCTAAACAGCTGCTAGCCTGCTGGTGCCTATCACTAGAGACACGATGTTTTTGTCTTTGCATAAAATTCATGCCAATGAATTCTAAACAATATTACTAGAAATACCTTCCAGTGATCAGAAGACTAAACTTCTTGGAAGTAAAAAGCCTACTTCAGAACATCAAGAAGGATCTAATGGGAAGGATGCAACGGCATCTCTTCAGTTGTGAAGCTAGTTTGGATTACAAACATCAAGAATGCAAATTATCAATGAACACAGAGTATGGTTCCTAGCTTTGATCATGAGAATGCCATTTGAAATCGTGTCAGGAACCTTACTAAAGTGAAGATAAACGGCATGTCCTGCTTATCCTCTATCCACAAATTCATTATCTCATACAGAAAGACTATTCAACCTCTCACTGCTACTTAGATCCTTGTACTGGGTTTGCATGGCAAGGTTTTGGTAGCAGGGCGGATACAGGAGTGGCTTCTGTGAGAAGCTGCTAGAAGCTTCCCCTATGTCCAACGGAGCCAACGCCAGCTGGCTCCTCCGGGCACGGGAGCAGAGGTTCCCCTGCAGCCCGTGGAGCAGACCATGGTGAGGCAGGCTGTGCCCCTGCAGCCCATGGAGGCCCACAGGGGAGCAGAGACCCACCTGCAGCCCGGGGAGGGCCCCACG